AGTCCAAACAGGTGCAGAAGGGAACTGGAATGGCCTCCCTCCCCCCGCCCCCAGGAGGCCCCACCCCAGCACGCAACTTCTATGAGGGAGACGCTTACCTGGCTTGACGCTCCCATCTGAGTAGCCTGGACTTGGGAAGCAGCCTGCTGCTGCTGCTGCTGCTGCTGCTGCTGCTGCTGCTGCTGCTGCTGCAAAGCTCTGACCTTACGGAATAAAACCAAGAGTGGGTTCCGCAAAGCTCAGTCACACAGCCATCTATCAAACATGCAGGAACTCCCTGCCTGCCTCTTTCCCAACTGAGCCCTGAACCGGTGACGCAGCCTGATTCCTATGGAGTCTGCCAATAGCTTGCCAAGGCCCTCTCTGAAGGATTTGTTTCAGGCCTGCTACCAATTTAGGAATCCCATAGGGTGAGCTTGGATGGACAGCATGCAGATTCCATGAGCAGAAACGTCAACACTGCTGGAAGAAGCCCGGCAGGTCCTCTGCCTATTGTGGAGGACACCAAATTCATCTGGCTGGCTTGATTTGAAAACACTGAGAGAGATGCCTGAGTTTACCAATCCTTGTACCTAGAAACTGTTGCTCACAAACATGAATCTGTTATTAAAGCACAGGGATTCATGCCCATTACTTTTCAGTATGAGAAGTGTTATGCAAAGGCTATGAAGAAATATGCAAAAAAAAAAAAATTAAAGGCAGGAGATAAGAAAAAAAGAAAATATAGCTACATCAACACCACTTATATTCCTCCATACCTCTTTACTTCGCAAACCAATCTTGCTTTCACCACATACTACTTCATACTTTTATTATTTGTCTCATCTCTTTTTGTAAAACACATCAACTCAGTAAAACCACCTTTCTTGGTCTTTCCTCATTTTGCTCCTCATTCATTCCCTCTATATGATCAAATACTTGTTTCATATGGTCACTCACTTTTGTATTCAGATTCATTCAAGACCATTAATTTTTGACCTTGTCTTTTATTCTCTTACCACCACATTCCTACTGTTCTCAGCTTACTTTTACGTTCCTCCTGATATATCCAACTGTCATTTTCCATATAATAAAATGGGCAGAGGCAGGGTCTTAAACATAGCTAGTTTTTGCTTTTTTCAACATTCAGTTTTTGCAATAGACTGTATACTACCTGCTTTTTACTAGTATTTGAATTTCTCTATTTTCTCATATTTAGGAAACATTTTCTCATCTACCTACTCTATTTTTTTTGTAACATATATACAACTTGCAACTGTTCACTCCATTTTCCCTGTCAAACACATCTACCCCACTCTTTAATACACTGATTTTCAAATCTGTTGTTCTCTGTTGTATCATATTATCTATTAAACATTTGCTGAAAATCATTCAGGTTCTTAACCAATAAGCTATACATCCTTGTCTCTATCAAATACGCTTCTATCACCACAAACATTTCATATACATTTAATCCATAAGTATATTATCCAACCAAGGGGACACCCATGCCGTAGTGCTAAATACTGAACCATTTGATAAGCATTTCATTTACTTTTACTAAGTTTTATTTTCATAAAATGCCGTTCTTAATCACATTCAGCAACAAATCTTAAACTCCACATTCTCGCAAAACATTCTGAATTCAAGCCTATTCACTTTATCATATGCATTAACATTTCTCTACATATACCATCTAAATCTGCAGCCTTACAATTTCTCAACCCCTTCACGTTTATGGCTTCCTTTTCATCATTTTTTTAGATGCTAGCATTTATAGCATCCACTTCTTGACATCAATACCATTTCCCTACAGAGTTCTAAAACATTCTTTCCAGCTTTCTCTTTCTTTCAGCTGCATTCCAAATAGTTTCATCAGTTTTTTTGGTTCCATTCACTCTGTTGAAGTCTTCTTGTTTAGCCTTTTTCCCGCTTTCAAAACTTATTTTTAATTTCCATCAAAACTGTTCTGCATTTTCTCTGCCTCTTTTAATCTTAACCATTTCCTTGCTCTCTTTGACTATTCTACATTACTGGTTTTAGAAGCATCTGGGACACAGGTAATCAGTGGTATGCCATTCTTGGGAATCTGGTTGAAGACTGTTTCCAAGGCTGAAGACTCGTGTATCATCTTAGTCTCTTAATGCTATTCCAATAAGAACAATATGGGTGGGCTGTTTAGGGTATCCTTGGGGATGCACAGGAACCTTTTTACTGAATTTAGTGTTTAAAAGGGCAAGTATAGGAAACAGATGGATGTACAGTCATTACCAAGGAGATATGTGATTAAGTAGCTAACGCTTGAAGAATGAAAATTCAAAATGGGAGAAAGGGGAGACTCTGGAACAGACTATTAAGCAGTCAGTTTGCAAGTATTTAGGAAAAAAATGCACTGTTTGGCAGAGCCAACGTGGCTTTATCAAAAATAAATCATGCCAAACCGAGTTCATCTCATTTTTAAAAGGGTGATCAGTTTCGTTGACCACTGGAATGTAGTGGACTCTGACATCACCAATGCATTTGAGAAAGTGTCCCATGAGAACCTAGTAGAGAAGACTGTAACATATGGGCTAAACTATGCTACGATTAGATGGACAGAAAGCTCATGAAACAATCATACCCAGTGAGCATGCATCAATGGCTTCATGTCAAGCTGGAGAAAAGTGTCAAGTGGCATGTTGCAGGACTATTTTGGTTTCTAGAGGGAGTGGGAGACTTATTCAAATAAGACCGCCTGAGGCGCAGTCCACCTCACTCTCCCAGCCTTCTGGAAGTTAGCTATCCCAGATGGCCTGGGGGCCTGATGGGGGCTCACGTTGTTGGAACTGGCTGGTGGGATAATCAATACTGTTCCTCCCATCATCTTGAGTTGTATATAGTCTTTTTATACAGTATTGTTATTAGCTACTTTTAATATGGATTTTTATATTTTCATTGTTTTTACTGTTTTGGATTTTCATTGTGAGCTGCCCAGAGTTACCTTCTGGGGGAGATGGTTGGCATATAAATTTAATAAATAAGTAAATAAATAGATACGTTAAGCATATTGGAGGCTTAACATATCAATTCCCTTTGTTTCCCACCAGCCATTAGCAGGAAACCAAACTGCTGATTTGGATGTTTTGCTGCCAAAAATAGCAATGTGTATAATTTGGGGAATTCTAGAAATGGCAGAAGAAAAGGGGGGACAAATACAGCATATCTCTGAGGTATCTCAAGGGGAAGTGTCGCTGACTCAGCATTTCAGAAATGGCACTGAAGAACAGCAACAGAAGGTGATCTGAACCCGCCCAGATCCTCCTTCCGGCAACTCCTCAAAGACTGCCACTGAGGGAGCCTCTTGCCACCCCCCACCCCGGCTGAGCAGCAGGGGATGCAGCTGGGCACTTACCTGCATGGCTTTTAACTGCTGGGGCAGGATGGCCATGGACATGACCTGGCCAGGGATCTGCCCCGGAACAGTCTGTGCCTGGGAAACCATGGGCTGGGGTGGAAGCGACGGGGGTGGGCCCTGGGCCACTTGCTGCTGCATCTGTTGTGGTGGTGGGGGCTGCGGCGGCGGTTGCTGCTGCTGCTGCTGTTGGGCCTGAGCAGCCTGAGCGGCCTGCTGCTGCAGCTGTTGCTGCATCTGAGCAATTCGCTGCAGTTGCTGCTGCTGCTGCATCTAAAGCAAGAAGTGCAGGAGAAGAGGAAGGCCAGTGGTCAGGGAAGAAGGGAAGAGCAGCAGAAAGGCCCTGGGGAGGCTTAGCTGCCCCATGGGCTTACCAGCACCAGCATTCCGGGAGGATTCCCAAGCCTCCACACCAAGCCCAGAGTCCACCTGATCCGTCATCTCTGCAGTCAGGAGCAGAGACAAAGCACTACGGCCACCTATGGAAGCATAGGCCCCCTTTCCCTCGGGCTCTCTGGGAGGAGCAGAGAAGGCTCAGCCAGAGCTATCTCCTCAGAGGAGCCGGCCCAGCCCCTTCGCGGGATACCCACCCCAGGAGCCAGCCTGGCTGGCCCTTGGCCACCAGATCCCTCCCCCAGGTTCTTGCTGCTGGGCAAGAGAGGGGGACGCTGAAGCCTTTGCTCTCACCTGCTGCTGGCTTTGCTGATGGAGCTGTAACTTCAGCATTTGTTGCTGCTGCTGCTGCTGGACCACCTGCATTTGCTGCTGCGCTACAGCTGCTGCCTGTTGCTGCTGCTGCTGCTGCACTTGGAACTGCTGCTGCTGCTGCATTACTGACTGCTGGGTCTGGAACTGCTGCTGCTGCTGCTGCAGAGCTGCCTGCTGCTGCTGCTGCTGCTGGAACTGCTGCTGCTGCTGTTGCGCCATCTGCTGCAACTGGAGCTGGGCTGAGGAGACAGCGGCAAGGAGCTACGTGCTGAAAGGCCCTGGGGACCCAGATACACGTCTACGGACGTCTCTGTCTCCTGCACAAATGGGACCCTCCTCCTTTTGCTGCTGCCTCCTACCTGGATTTTACAGCCTTTGGGCGTCATTCATATATATATATGAAT